AAATAAAAAAATATAAGCCAATGTTTCAGTTTTAATTACATAGAGAACGGGTTCGAAATGTACACGTACGAACAAACTTTTGGGATGAACTCCACATACCAAAACAAGAAAACAAGCTCACGTAAACATCGGCTCGCAAATGATTCCTTTCCGATGTACAGTGCAGCAAACTTAGCGACCATTTCAACTGATATTCCCAACTTCATGGCTGTCACCTTTCTCACAGGGCACATATGTGATCTTCATACGCGTTCTTAACACCGTTATCTGTGTCAATAGTTAGAGCCAAGATTCAGTAGTTGAGCGGTGTTCGTCATATATACTGTTTTCTGTAGCGGCAAACTGTACCTCCCTTAATGTCAGGGACCAAGTTTCACACCCACACAGAACCACCGGCAAATTATACTTTTGTATATTCTAATTTTTATGTTCTATGTTCCTCCCTTATTGTCAGAGACCAAGTTTCACAACCATACCGAAACACAGGCAAAATTATAGTTTTGTATATTCTAATTTTTATGTTTTTGGACAGCAGACGAGAAGACAAAAGGTTCTCGACTGAATGGTAGCAAACATTACCCGAGTTCAATCGCCTCTTAATTTCCTCCTGAACCAGGTTTCGATCTGTTATCGTCGTTCCCAAATATCTGAACTGTACCACATTTTCAAAACATCTTTTCCTATCGTTATGTCATGATTTTGCCCTGCATTTTGGTGATGAGACAGCAACATGTATTTAGTTTTCTCTATGTTTACTTCTAGACGAACCTCGCGTTTATAACCGGTACTTTTATGTATTAGCATGGCGAAACTCAAAATTTTCACGTGGAAAATATAATTTTCATACGACATTTTGTTCTAATATCTTTAATTAATCGGCGGAGCTACATTATTACGAAGAGTTTACACCGCCTTTACTATTCTAATTATGGACTACCCAGTTTTTTATTCTTGGAGTGGAACGAGAGAGTCCGGTGATACTGCAGCCGCAATGTTACTATGAAGATCTAGTGGAATGGTACCAGGAAGGGGATATATACACGTAAGTACTCGGCGAAGAACTGCAGCAATTCCAGCCTGTCCGTAACAAACCTCGAAAGAAATTAGCCGGTACTGAACCCGGATCTTCGCGACAAGAATTCGGCAAATAATTGCCTCATATATGCAATGACAATTTATGTAAAAAGAGCTTTCATTACTGTGTTCGCTATAGCACCTCTTATGAATCCATTCCAAACCCTAAAATTCTATTCCTTTAATATCCGTTTAGAGATTATCCCCTCACCTGCGCACGTATTTCTCAAACTGCTTTTACCCTTCAAGTCTGCCAACAAAAAATTGTATATATTTTATCACTTGCCTTCTCTGTACTGCATGCCCCACCGATTCTTGAATCCTTGGTATTTGCAACATTTACTAATAAGCTGTAATTAAAAAAAAAAAATCCTTGGCACTACAGCCCCAGAGGGCCTAGGCCTACCTCCATGAACTTCTCCGTTCACTTCGGTTTTTCTAGATCTTACACATTCGGTAGGACTCCTTGGGCGGGTGATCAGCTCGTCGCAAACACAGAAAAACGCACACACACAAACTAAACATCGATGCCCGGAGTGGGATTCGAACCCACGATCCCGGTTTCCAAGCGAGCGAAGACGGTACATACCTTAAGATCGCTCGGCTACCGTGACCGGCAATTTCAAAAATACCTGACTAAAATTTTATAATTTTGATGGTTTACATATACCAAGTGGCACGAGAAAGGTGTACTGTGTTGCAATGACCTGATGTTTAAATACTTGTAATTCGAAGGGAGATGTACGGCATACTAACATTGTTAAAATTCCTTACAACAGATGTTTACTCTAATTTACATTTATACCCAACACGTGACAATGTTAACTGTGAATTCTCCAAACGGTTTTCAAAATGCTGATTCTCTGATGGCCGACTGTCCTTATCTTTTGCTGTATCTGCTATGCAGACATTTCTGCAGTAGAATCTGCTCCCGCTTTCAGGCGTCTGTACCTCATATCGACAGTGTTTCGCTGTTCTTCTTGAGCCCATTTTATTCATTTATTTAATTAAGGAGCCTTATGAGATCACCTTGTTGCCTAATTTCATTGCTTTCTATACGGTCCATGTCGTATCACAGGAAAGTTGGCGATTAATTCTTCCCAGAACTTCTTGTTTTCTAGAAGTGGGGCGACGATTAATTTCAAAGCAGAGAACTTGCAGTGTTGTTCCAACCGATCCACTGCCACCAAACTGAAAATATCGTAGCATATTTATTTGCTGAGCCGGTCACGGTAGCCGAGCGGTCTAAGGCATGTACTGTCTTCGCTCGCTTGGAAACCGGGATCGTGGGTTCGAATCCCACTCAGGGCATGGATGTTTAGTTTGTGTGTGTGTGTTTTTGTGTGCTTGTGTACAGGTAGAGGCCTTGCGACGAGCTGATCACCAGCCCAAGGAGTCCTACCCAATGTGTAAGTTCTAGAAAAACCTAAGTGAACGGAGAAGTTCATGGAGGTAGGCCTGGGCCCACCGGGGCTCTACTGCCAATGGAGGAAAAAAAATATATTTGCTGAAGGCAAGAACCACAAAGCCAGGAGAGAGAGTTGTTGCTTCAGTGACTTGGTTGGTGAGTAACTGAGTAAGTTGGTCGAGAGATGCTGTAGCTGAGGAAACCCAGAGTAAGAGGAATATCCGCTGTTGGAAGCCGCTACCGAGCAACAGCTAGAGAAGACTGGGAAGACTTTATATGTGCTGAAGTGACAGTGATATTTGGAGTATGTTACTCTGTGAGACTGTCGTAGTTATTTGTAGTTATGTTCTGTAAGTGTTCAATAAATCCGATCATCAAATCCAAACCCTATATACAGTCACTCAATCACGCGATAATATTAACACAGAACATGTAAGTGTAATGTAACATTTGAGGCACGTTCAAATACTTCACCTCGATGTTCTGTCCGCTTAGTTGTTTATGGATCCGGGTTTTTTTTTTGCGTCGTGTGCAATAAATACTACACTACTGCATTTACATTATTTTTCGAATTAAAATTTTGGTACATCCAGTGTGCTGTCATCAACGGAGTGACAGATATAGGCTTAGAACCAATGACGTTTCACTTCAGATCGTAAAAGTATACAAATTAACGAAGAAATAAAGTAAAATGAAACATGTTTCACTTGACAGCAGACATTATACAGTCGTCTTACTTTAAAACTGTGGAATTATGGCGTCATCTTTCGCATATACTACGACCTGCTGTGAAACTAATAAAGTGGATGGCCGTAGCTTCGATCCCATGACAACCCCACTGTCTTCTGAATAATGGAGTAGAAGTCACCGCGTGATACTCGCAAAAAGTGAATTTCTGCCTCCGTGTAAAGTGTTAAATTTCAACCAGAACTGAATTTTTCCGACACATTTTAGTAAAACTGCCAATAGAAACTGTCATGTAAATCTATCTCGTTGAAACCTAGCAATTGCATGCAGAGAGACAGACTGAGAGATGGACAGACAGAGGGAGACAGACAGACATGACATGGTTCATGGGTACTTTTCTCAATTCTTGTGAACTCGACTAAAATTTAATAACATATATGTGAGTAGTCTCCGGCATCCCAGATTCCGAAATGTTGTGGATACTTATTTATTTGTTCGTAGTATATTAATTGTCTGTGGTTCATAGTATGTATTACTGAAAATAAATCAGACAATTTGCAATGTTCAGATTAATGTTACTATATAAGAGTATCGCCGTATGTTTCATTTGAGCGTCACTCTGCAAAAAAAGTGTGAACTGGTGCCCTTTATAAGCAAATGCGATCAGGCTCTGACGTAACGTATAAACACGCACGCATTTAAATGCAAATTTATTGAAAGGCAATGACTATAACTATTAATGTATTATGAAATATCTGAATGCAGTTCGGCTTATATAGCGCGTACAAACTCATTTTCAAATTCGATTATGGAACGTTCAAACTACTTCTAAACATTAGTTTTGTTTATCATGTAAAATAACAAAGCAAAATTTTCGATCACAGATCACTTGTAGCTTATAAATAGATTAATGCAGCTTAAGGTTCAAGAACCAGTAAATCAAATGAATTGAGTAGGAGGGGCTGATATCTTTGTACAGTAAATCTATTGTCTTCCCCAGACTGCAGTAAAGTCTCATCGCATTGTTGTAGAATTTATAGAGACACGGTACCAAAAAAAAAAAAATCCCGTCATTTTATTCCGCAAACAAACTATACCGACCGACGCTTGTCGGCGAAGTTAGTGCCAACCTTAGCGGATAGAGGGTGTAGCGTGGTCAACGCAACGGATCCCCACGGCCGTTAATTTAGGTTTTNATTATTATTATATTATTATTATATTATATATATAATATATATATTATATTATTATATTATTATTTATGACGATTATATCGCTTGTAAAATTAAATTAGTGTGTACAACTTAGGTATTCCATCACATCTATCAGATTATATTCTGAATAAATCTAACCACAGAAATTGCGACGATTATAAGCTAATTCACTTTATAATTACATTAATTTGTAAACATCGCAAATCATTCTTGTATTTGATAAATAAGATTTTAATTTTTACACATTTTCTGGGCTCTCAGCCATTATAAAGGAATTTTTCTTAAGTTCGAAAACTTCAAAATTTATTTCTATATAATAGGGATTAACATTTTGATTTAATATAATCTTCTGCCGTTTAAGCAATTTTACAATTAAACTTGTTTTATATATATCATAAAATATGATATACATCCTTAAATAGGCAGAGACATAATGAGTACAATTTCACAAACAATAAATAAACCACCTCTGATTTTACTGGCGCATTATACAAGTATATTACGAACAAAAAGAAAAAACACTGTTTTGGAATGAATTTCGATTCCTATAAATTAGTTGCCTCATACCAGCACGAAATTAAAGCAGTGCCCATGCATACACGAAGTAATCTACAGGCTCAATTTGACTGTGATCCCTTACCTTGAGCCGGTGCGTAGATGTTGAGATACAAGCAGTCTTCACTTTGGTTCCGTAGATAGGGCAAGAGCCTTTTCAGATACTCCACTCTCCCCTTAGGCATCCTCTTCAAAGCAAGCGTTTCATTAGAGATGTCAGGTAATTTCTGGGGGCACACTGGACCGAAATGCTCGGCCATTTTCACACCAGACCACAATGCCCCTGTTACTGGTGGCATAAACCTCAGATTTCCTGTAGGTGGCGATGCGTAGGGAATTCCTCGGAACACCTCTACAGGTTCTAAATGCCTACTATCAAAGGTCACTATCACACCGCTGACATCGCCATATTTTGTCCTCACTGTTCTTGAACTTAAGGTAGTTGATGACGTTGATGATGTAGCTGATGAAGATGACGATGCAGCTGATGAAGATGATCCAGTTGCCGCGGCATCGCTTTTAAGGTTAACGACGCCTATCAACACGTATAATGCCAATAAAATGGCAATAGACCTTGAAGTCTCAGCATTAATTTGTTTAGAACACACGTAAGTTCTGGTATTCCATAAAGTTTTCTGAACAGCCATCTTCTTTCACTGTAATATTCGGATCGTTTTATGGAGTGGTGTATATGTCTCTCACGTATTTTATTCCTATTTTAAGGCGATTCAGTTTAAATTTGTTTCAACTGCACATAAAAGCAACGATTTGGAGATAGAGTGAGAGACGAGGCAAGTGTATAGATCGCTCTGTCATTAAAGATCACTTTCCTGATCCAAGGTTCGTTTTATCTCCTAATTTAATTCAGCTCATTGGTATATTTTTGTTACAAATTAAGAACTCAGAGAGTTATCACTCTCATTAAGAAGTATGAAAGTATTTATACAACAGCTAGACTGTTTCGAACTGCATATCTTGTATTACGAAATAAAATTATAATTATATATATATATATGTGCGAGTTAGTGCTTAATCAGCCTTACTACTCCGCTCCCGCAAAATGTGGACGCCAAATTTTCGAAAAAAAAAACAAATAATGAAAGATATATCGTAAATATAAATATATGAAAAGTAATTCATTATTATTTTAATTACTTTTATTAATATTACAATTAATGCTTGTGCTTTGAATTTAATTGCAGCCGAAATTTAAAATTAAATACACAAGTCCCATACAACCGTTAAGTTCCCCTATTTTAATAAAAACAATTACAACACCGCTAATCGTAAAATGATATAACCTTGTGTCATGAAAGGAAGCATCTTAGAACGGTTACTGAAAATCGCACTTTCATATTTCGTAACTAACATCGCATGTTATCACCGCGACATAGAAATAATATCTCCTATATTGAAGTTAGATATGAAATTGTACTCTCGTAATAATTCAGTTTTTAATACTCCAACTTTCAGTGACGAAATGTAAGCTCGAATGATAGGCTGCGCATTACACCGAGCTCTTATTCACCATCACTTACACTAACCACACATACGTGATGAAACAAAACAAAATGGAGCAAAATATTTCACTGAATACGTACAATTGTTAAGCACTTTGCTGCATTAGAACATCATAAACACTATTAGCGTAGTAGTATTATGTTGATTCGAGCACTTCCACTTAACCTAAGTCACCATACAAATCAAATGGTTAAGGAATATACTCAAATTATAATTGAGATTTCACCGCAAAATAAAAATGAATGCCCTTTGAAACTTAATAAAATCCCAGACGGAAATGACACCGCGCTTAAAACCGGTTGGACATCATTTTAAACCATGTCTCCGATAACCTGTTTACAAGAGAGCTTCTCTTATTTCCGCCAGGAAAACATTGCATGTACACACGTAAAGGTTATAATATTAATAAGTTACTTATCCAGAATCACATTTTATCTGCAATAAGGTCTCCATCTTTATGTGTTAAGCATATTACTTGGCAGCTCCACTGTGCAAATCACCAGTGGCACACGTATGAATCACTTAACTGCGGTGCTGCGAATCTCCATGAAGAATAAAGGATAGACTCGCGTAGTAAGCCACATTTAACCGGAAGTTTAAACCGCGATATATATCTCGTATTGGAATCATGTTCCGCATTCCAATTTGACTGTTCCACACGCTACCGGTTGCCCTAGCAACCATCTGCAATGTTGCCTGTGTGACACTGAGTAGGCAGTGGCAGAACGCGAAGCAATCCCCGTAACCTCCAAGTAGTCACCTTCCTCGTACGATAGCTCCCGTTAAACTGACGACCCTTTCATTCGATCCGGTTGCGCCGTCGCCACAGTGCTGCCATCTATAACATGGCGTCGCGGCCCTAGTTGAATATGGAGCCACCTAGTGATCCGAAAACAAACTGAAATACGCAAGAGCGGGTCGCATTTTGTGTCCTACAGCTTTATTTTCTCTCGATCTCTTTCAGATTCCCCTTATAGTTCCCCTGCCCCCAAAACATCCCCAAATTTCTGTATGGTTTCCCTGGTGGTTCTGGGTTAGGGCAGGGTGTTTGTGGAATGGATGGATGGGTTGTGGGGGCGAATGTGGAGAGTGTGAGACGACGGGGTGTGATGCAGTAATGCTATAAAAACAAAGGGAAGGAAGAGTTCAAGAAGTGAAGTCTATACCTAGGGCAGCAGAGTTCAGTGACTGTTACGTTCTGAGCCGTGCCTGCTGTATACAGTGACAGACGGAAGCAAACTTAGCGCTTCTTATCCTGAAGCAAAGGTTCACGATTTTTCTCTTTGCCAGTTATACCTTATACAATTCTTTACACTTTTCCATCCGTAGCAGTATTAAATATTTATAAATTACTTGTGTCAGCTTCTGAGACACTGCCATATACAATAGTGGGAAGAAGATAACTTTTATTTTTATGTCAAAATCAGGAAGGCTGTAGGGTATAATGAAATCTTTGTAAGATTTGAGATTCTCACAACGTTGGTTATGAGACATAACGCCGTGTATCCCCTTGAAATTCTACCGATGTTTCGGTGGAATATTTCGCATCCATATGCAGAGTCGGATAATAAGCCAAGCAAGAAACCAACGTGAAAGCTGGTGGCAAACAAGCTCTGGTTTCTTGCCCGCCTTATTCTTCGACCTTGAAGATGGAGGCGATATGTTCCTCTGAAACGTAAATTACTTTCAACGCATTACACGGTGTTATGTCCAAGAACTTAGTACTCCTGAGTGTACTTCAATCTTCAGGTGATCTGTTTTCATTATACTGACAGATATTTTTAACCTAGTTTTCTGAATTAAAAAAATTAAAGAAGGTTTATGAAATCACCATGCTCTGTGTCTGTGTGTCTACCCTAACGTTGCTAGAAACGACTCAAACACGTTCCTGCGGCAAGGAATACACATAGCTGGGCGCGTTTTATATGCGTTCAGCGTTGTATCAAATACTGCCTATGTAGTGAAAGGAAAGTAGATTATTAGTTTTTCCCAGAACCTTTTGTAGTAATTATCATACTGGCTCAGCACTGAGAAAGATGCTGGACTATGCGTGAAACATCGAAATTTATCTTAAAGTAAATAATACGTAAAAACATAATGTATATGCCCACAACCGTTCGCCTGCAGGCGGTAGTATGGCCAACATCTTAAACGTCAAATGTACCTCAGACAAAGTGAAATGTCCAATGTAATATTTATAAACAGAATGAAAAATTGGCACAAAATTTATATAACCATTACACAATTATTCATAGACCAGATCGTTAAAAGCCAGGCCTCTTTATACAGATGTATCAATTAAATTCTGTTATTACTTGAATCAATCCTTTAGCACAACTACCAATCGGATAGTAAATCGAATAATTAATTTATAAATTAATTAGATATCTGACAACCAGACCGTCTATCAGAATTTCACTTTATATGAACTCGATAAATACAAGGCACTCTCTCTTGTACGTAGTTCAGATGAAGGTTATGCAAGCCGTTGGTAGGTAGCTCTCATTTTAAACTTAATAAAAGAAAATGCTTTGAAGTAACTCCTGTCTCTTTGCAACATGTTGGAATTTAGTTACAGACGAGCAAAAATTTAATTCTTTAAATTTAATAATATTAAATCCCATAAGAGTGCAGAAGAACTAGCACAAATTTAATTATGGCAGGAATAGGGAGTTGCCAGGAAGAGGGTGCAAGATTTCAGTAGATGGTATACAGTGCGCGGAAAGTTACACCAGTGAATTAGGAGGCTGTATTTTCTTAACTTTGGTACAGACTAAGAAACAATTTGCTGAAATATGGAGTATTATTATTATTCTTTTGTTGCTAATGGGGTGGGACTAAGTTCCTTGTACTGCGGCCACTTCTGACCTATTGCACCAGCCAAAGATGATAGGTGAGGGTGATTGTGGAGCAATTGGTGGAAGGAATATTGGCAAGGGAAACCGAAGTACTCGGAGAAAACCTGCCCCAGCGCCACTTTGTCCACCACAAATCCCACTTGATAACACCCGGGATCGAACCCGGGCCGCCGCGGTGGGAAGCCAGCGACTAACCGCTTGAGCTGTGGCACGGCCTGAAATATGGAGTAACTGAGAAAGATTTCTGTAAATAAAATTCCTTATGCATTCCTTTCATGGTCCATCTCTGGAGTTATTAATACCAACAGCTACCGTGATACACTTACTAAGTTTGTCACGTGAACAGTGCGCCCATCCACGGTATTCTGACTTGCATCCACAAGAAATACTGAATTGCTATTGAATGACAAATTTGAAATTTGGTATGCAGCTAATTCAGCAATATCACATTGTTCAGGAAAATACTGTAATGTGTAGAGCCGTTGCTATGTGACGACCGTGAGATGGACGGATATACCAGGGCCGTTTCTGGGCAGCGGTTGGGTAAACACATTCCCGCATCAACAGACACGAACGCGACAATAGAAGAGCTGTGTTTTCTATATGGTACGCGCTGAGATATTTTAAGCAAGGGACAAGATTAGAACTTAGTTCTATACGGGGGTCAGTGAAGAGATGATTTGAGCTGGAGGCAGAGGGATAGCGATTGTTGGAGCCATTACCAGGAAACGTCTAGTAACAGAATGAGAACAATAGAATGTATGCTGTAGTGACTTTAACGTGCGGAAATAGCGATAGTGTTATAGTTACTTGTAGTTAAGACCTGTAAGTGGCAAATAAATGTATTCACCAATCCAAACCCCGTATACAGTCACGCATATTACATGAGAATACATTTTATGGATGAGTTCTCTCTGCATACAATAAACAAACTTCTTGGCTGCAAAATGTCGCAACAACGGCTGTCATTAACGAAACTAAGGAACAGTCCAGAGCTACATTCTAGAGCATATTTTTCCTTAACATGTTGATCTTGCAATACGTAAGATCGCTCTTCTGGTATGAAAATGGGGGAAATACGTTGCTCCGAAACGTCTGTAAATTTCTACCAGACTACACGGTGTTATATATCAGAAGATTATACAAACAGCCTTCATATTCACTGCGGTGAGAACCTACAACCTAATATTTTTAGACTATACTCCTTATTTTGAAAAATTAAAGAAGGCTTATGAAATCACCATGCTGTCTGTATCTCTGTTTTCCGGCCCATTTCCTGAATTCCGGAAAATACCCTGTTTATATAAATTCGGGTCTGATGTGGAGAAAATGCCGTCTCCATCAGACTCTCTGTAGTTAACCTAATTTCCCTGTGTGTGTGTGTGTGCGCGCGTGCGCGCGCGCGCGCGTGTGAGTGTATCCCCCCCTATCGTTGCTAGGCAACACATCGGATAAGGGTTTTCCGGGGAAAAAGTACAACTCAAAAATATAAGAATTTGTTTGAGGCGTCGTTTTCTATGCGGTCCGATTTATTATTTATTGCCTCTTTGTTTCCTTCTCCGTTCCATTCTTCCTTTCAGCTTTTCCTTCT